AGGACAGCTTTTGCTCGCCCGCAAGCTCGGGCGGCGGTGCTGGCACCGGCCTCTTGCGGCCATTCTCGTCGAGGTACTTGTCGATGTCGGGCTTGCGGCCCCACGAGATGTCAATCAGCCGCTCCTGCGGTGGGAGGGGGGAGGGGGGGCTGGCGCAAAGAGCGGGTCTGTCTCCCTGCCGTCCGCTCGCGAGCCTTGACAAAGTCGACGCGGCGCTTGTTCGTGTCGCCGTAGAGCAGCTTCTCGACCACCGGCATCTTCGCCTTCTCGAACGAGTTGATCGCCTGCTCGTAGTACTCCTGCGCCGCCTGCGCGGAGCGGCGGGCGCAGCCTCGCGGGGCGCAGTCTCGCGGTGCGGAGGTCTGCAGGCGCAGGCTGCGACTCTAGCAGGCTGCGACTCTAGCAGGCTGCGACTCTAGCAGGCTGCGACTCTAGCAGGCTGCGACTCTAGCCGGCTGCGACTCTAGCAGGCTGCGACTCAGCAGGCTGCGACTCTAGCAGGCTGCGACTCTAGCAGGCTGCGCGCCTCGATCTCGCCGAGGTGGTGGAGGCAGGAGGCGATGTTGTGGACGATGGCGCCGCGGACCGCGAAGTCCTTCGAGTTGCGCGTCTTCTCCGTCACCTGAAGAGCGCGAGGGGAGCGCGAGCCGAGTGAGAGGGGTGAGCGGCGGGGGGGGAGAGGCTCGGGCGCAGCAGGGGAGGCGGGGAGGAAGTCCGGGGCGGGAGGGGTGAGAGTCGGAGCTGCGCTGCAGGCTGGGCCCCTCCGGCTCCCGGGCGGGCGGGCACGCACCGCGAGGCAGGCGGTGAAGGTGTTGAGCGCCATCTCGTACTCGCCACGGTGGAACTGGAGGCCGAGCAAGGAAGAGAGGCGGGGTGAGAGGCAGGAGGCTGTGGCGAGGGGCGCGGGCGCGGCGCGGCGAGCGCAAGGGGCGGGTCGGGGCGCGCGCGCGGGGCGGCGGCGCTGCTCGCGGGGCGGCCGTGCCTGCTCCTTTGCTTCGGTGAGCAGGTTCCACTCCAGCTGGTTGAGAGTGTCCTGCGAGGGAGCGGCGCTCGGAATCGGCGGAGGCGCTCCCGGGCGGGAAGGGGGCTGCTGGGAGCAGCGCGCGCCTTCTTGACGGTGGCGCCAATTTGCGCGTGGTACTTGGTGACGCGCGAAAACAGCTTTTCGGACACCTGAGGAGTGGGCCGGAACGGAGGAGTCGGACCTCACACTCGCGGCGCCTCTTTGATCCTGAAATCGCGTTCGAATTCGCGCGGGCTTGGCCGGTGGCGCGCGCACGTCCGCAACGCCGCGCTCGTCGTGGCTCATACTGGAAGGAGCGGGTGGCAGGGAGGCGGAGCGGCGAGCGCTGTCGGGCTACGGCCAAAAGCCCCCCTCGCTCTAAGTAGGCCTTTACTGTCCCGTTTTGCTGTTCACAGCTAGGGACGGCCTCTGCGGCAAAGTCAAACAACCCCACCTACCGCCTACCTCCCTCCCACAGGCAAACCTTCGGCTCCCGCTCAGAGGCTCGTAGTTTTTCTTCCAAATTTGCTGCACAGGGCCATGGCTGCGCTGGCGTAATGTGCCGACGAGAATGGCGACACATTGCCGACAAAAACACCTGCTTTGTATTTCAACCAGCACGCTCACCTGCTTTACCGTTAGTTAGCTCATGCCTCAAGCCTCAAGGCCCCGCCAGCTCCACCTCAAAAGGGAACGGCCCTCCTGTTCCATTCCTCTCCCACCACTCCTCCGCCCCCCCCCCCTCCTTGACTAGCACGCGTCGGAGACCCTCCAGCACCGCGGCGCGGTGTGATGCCGGGACCACCACCTCTCCCGGCGCAGCAGCCTCGCGCTGCCTGCGCTCCGCGCGCTGGTGGCCCGCAATCTCCGACTCGCTGTCGGTGACCGCCGCCCGCTTGCGCTTGGAGCCCGGCCCGACGGACGGACCGTCGCTACCGACAGTCGCTGCTGTCGGGGCGGAAACGAACGAGCCGCCGCTGCCTGCCGCGCCGCCGCTGTGCAGCACCACGCCGTGCGGGATGCACCCGGCCTCGCCGCCCGCGCTCGCCACCGGCTGCTCCATGCGCGCCTCGTCTCCTTGCGCCGCCGATTCCTGGCGGTGGCAATCCTCCGCATCTGCGCCCTCGGCCCCCGCCCCCGCCCCCACCCCTCCCCTCGCCTCCAAGGCCTTCCTCATAAGTTCGACGTTGTTTTGCCACTGCGGCACGAGGGGCCGCTCCGGCTCGAGGGGCTTTGCACCGCCCTCGTCGGCACCGCCCGGCGCCGGCAAGACTTGGCCCAACCCCACATCGCGCAGCTGGTCAAACGGCGCCACGTACTCGACGGGCGCGGCCTCGTCCGCCGTCAGCTCCTCCGGCTCGAGGAGGCGAGGCAGCGCGCCGGCGGCGGAGCCGCCGCCGTTGGAGCCGCCGTTGGAGCCTCCCTCCTCGACGGTCGGCAGCGCCTTGAGCCGCAACCAGCTCCTCGCGCCGCCGCCTTCCCACGCGGTGTGGCCGAGGACGAGCATGGCCCGCGGGGTTAGCTCCGACCGCAGCCATACCACGTCGCCCGCCGCAAAGGCTCCCCGCCCAGCCGATGGCGCCGCGGCGGCGGGTCGGGCAGCGGCTCCTGCAGGGGGCGGCAAGCGTGGCTGTCAGCCAAAGAGGCGAGCCCCTGCACAAAAGGCGGATGCCCGCGCGCCTGCCGCCCCGTCCCCCCCGCTCGCGTAGCCCTCGTCGCCCCCGCCCGTCAGCGCCCGCACCTCGGCCGCGAGCTCTAGCGACTGCTCCCTGCTGACCGCGCCCGAGTGGAGGATCTGGCGGATGCTCTCCGCGGGCGGCCGCCTGACCTGCTCGTCGATGTACCGCGAGAGGGCGTGGAGCAGGGTTTCCCGCTGCGCCGCGTCCCCCGCCGCCTCCACCGCCAGCCACGCGGCGCGGAAGCCGGTGTACAGGGCGCTCACCGCCCCCTCCTCGAGGAGGAAGGGCTCGCCCGACGGCTGGGGCTGGAGGCGGAGGTGGCGGGTCGTCCTGCAGCGGCCCTCCCCCCGGATGGGCCACGTCTCCTCGACGATGAGGTGCGGCTGGTGCGGGTTCGCCCCCCCGGGCAGCCGGCCGGGGTGCAGAAACACCAAGTGGCCGACCTGCAGCTTGGCCTTGCGAAGCTTGCTTTTGCGTGGCTGTGCGTCGCCGCCTAGGCTCGGGGCCGCTCCCCCGGACGGCGCGCTGCTGCCGCCGCCGGGCGGCCTGATGCTCCACCTCTTGTTGCTGTCGTCCAGCCGCACGTGGAGGGCGACGAGCTCCTCCCTGATCCGGTCCGCCTGTGCGGACGTGTCGTGGACATGTCACGGATGTGTCGTGGACGTGTGGTGGATGGCTGCTGCTATGATCGAGCCTCCGCCCACTCGCGCCGCGAGCGGAGCTCGTCCCGCCGCTCGAGCAGCTCGAGCACCCGCAGCAGGGTTGGGTCGTCTCCCAGTGCCACCCCGCCACCGCCTCCGCCGCTGCCCGCTCCCTCGCACCCGCCGCTGCCCGCCCCCTCGCGCCCGCCCGGGCCGCTCCCACTCGCGCCGTCGCGGGAGGGCGGAGCGCCGCAGCCGTGATCGCGCTCGGGCTGTGCGTCGCGGCCGAGCCGAGCGGGCTTCGACGCCGCCTTGTCGCCGTGGCCCCGCCGTCTGTGGCCGACGGCGAGCCTGCTCGGGTCCCGACTCTCCTGAGGCGGCGCGGGCAAGCACTCGGCATCCACAGAGAGAGGGCGGGATTGTGGGACGGCGGCGGCGCGCCTTGTCGAGGAGCTGCTCCAGTGCCGACGTGGCCTCGCGGTCGGTAAGCCCCCGCCGGACGAGGGGCGTGATCTGGCAGATCCGCACCGTCCAGTGCCTGCGGGCGTCGGACAGCGGGCGCGAGACGGGGTGCAGCACGTCCATGTTGCAGCAGGCGAGGTCGGGCGAGGTGTCGAGCTCGAAGCCGCGCTCGCGGTACGTCCCAATCACCTTCCTCCGTCCGAGCAGCCGCGTGTCCCACAGCGTGCGCGTCGCGTACACGTGCGGCGACACAATCACCTCAAACAGCCAGCCGCTCGGGCCGTGCTCGCCAAAGATGGCCGTGAGGAGCGCGTCGCTCAGATCGGTCAAGGACGGGTACGTGCGCGACTCTCGCAGCGAGCGCTGCACCCGCCGCACCGCCTCGTCGCCCAGCCGCTCGGCGAGCACGCCGACCGGGTCCAGCTCGATCACGCGGGAGGTGCCCAGCACAAAGAGGTCGTAGTCGACAACCTCGACAACGGCGAGGGGGCGCGAGCCCTCCGCCGGCGGGGCGGGGTCGAGGGACCAGCAGGGGTCGGTCGCGTCCGGTGGGAGCCGCCCGGGCGGGTGGGCGCGCCAGCCGGGCGGCTCGGGGAGGTAGGTGTAGACGGAGGCGGAGGGTCTGACCATTGAGCTTCGGAGTGAGTTTCTTCCACCGAGACTGGCATTTAAGAATTCTTCCACCCTCATAATGCCTTTTCTCAATTAGGATTCCTACGTACTTTTAGCTTACTGGGAGAAAAGAGTGGGGTTGTGTTCTCTAGGCCCCTAAGGGCCCTACGCGCGGCGTGAGAGCTCGGAAGCGAGCTTTGCACGGCGATCGAGGATGGCGCGGTTCACCCCCTTCTCTCAATGTATGACGTGTGAGTGTTGGAGTTGTTTGGTATTGCTAAAAATTTCTCTCTCAATGTATGTGGCTCTTACGTACATTCTCAACATTCCCGGAGGAGGACTGCTGAGAGGGTTTGTTTCTTGTAAAGTTCTTTCCTCCGCGTCTCGTTTCTTCACTCTGGAAGTCTGGTGTGCGGTTACTGAATGCACTCCCAAGCCAGCGGAGGCCCTAAAAGGATCCCTAAAACCGAAGGCAGTGGCGTGTTTCGCGGGAAGTCCGGCGGGCACCGCACCAACTGCCAACGACAGTGTGTGCACATATGCAGCCCTCTGCGATGCCGCTTCCGCTCCTCTTCCTCGGCGCCCTGCAGGTCGTGCCCCGCGATGAACGTCCGGTCGGGAACGTGCTCTGCGACGACCACGGCGCGATCACGCCCATCTCGCGCTCAGATGCCCTGGCTCTCATAGATCGCGGGGGCAAAGAAGACGCGCCGGTGGCGCGTGGCTGGGCTGCTCTTCGAAGTCGCCCACGATGGCTTCGACCCATCGAGCTGGAAGCATGTGATTCGCCGCCCCCGCCACCAGGGTCTGCAGACGGGCTCGGCCCGAGGGCGGCGCCTCTACTACGTCTGGAGCCCAACGACGGGAAGCCCGCCTCTGTTGTGTGTCATCTTTCCCAGCGGCAGCGCACCGCCAGCCCGCGCGCGAAGCGTGTGCCCTGCTCACAGGGGTGAGCCTCCGCCCGCCAGAAGCCCTCCGCCACAACCAAACTCCCGCTCACCGACGCACTCCTCTCTGCGCGCGCTCGCAGGTCGATGCACGTGTGTGGGGGTGAGCTCGCCAACGGACTGACGGTGGGCGGCGGGTCGCACTGGAGCTTCAATCGCGATATGCAGAGGCCCTACAAACCACAGCAGCTGCTCGAGCGCAAGCGCATACACCGCACGAGCGACGAGCAGTCGCAGCAGCTCCAGATCACCTTTGCCTGCGCAAACATCTTCCGAGGTGCGCAACGCGCCGCTCGCCGCCCCCACGCACCCTCGAGACTGCTTCTGTTGAGCCCAAGTGCAAGGGTCTGGGGGGGCTGTCAGTGGAGAGCACTACGGCTGCTCGAAGCGACCCCCCCTCAGTAGTTTCGAGGAGAGAGAAGAGAGGAGGTGGCACTCGCCTCTCAGCCGCAGATGCAGCTCCCTCACCCCCCCCCCCCCCCAATCCAAGGTGTGCCTCGCGCGCACGTGGCTGTCCGCGCACGTGGCTGTCCGAGAGGGGCTCCCGTGTGGAAGCAGCCGTTCAAGCGAGGCGGACCGTGCGACTCGAGTGTGAACTTTATATGTAGCCGCTCCTGCGCGTGGCGGCCAGGTGGGTGGGTGCTCTGGCGGGGTGCAGCGACTCAGGAACTTAGGTGGGCGCAGAGGAGCGCGCGCCGAGCGAGACTGCGGGCCGAACGCGCTGCGAAAGGAATGCCAGTGCTCTGCCCGGGTTTACGCAAGGGCCCTCCCTGCAGGGGCCCGTGAACATCTTTAGCTTGTGAGCCAGGAAAAGGGTTGCGGGAAACCCGCCTTGTGACAATTGGCTCACACCGAGCCGGGCGCACCGCGCAGGAGAGGGGAAGCCTGCGAGCGGCGCGCCTTGTGCAGGCGAATCGCCGCAGCCTCTGCTGCTGTGTCACCCTCACCGACACCGCGCCCCGTTAATCAGACCACATCCTCTTTGCGTGCGCCCGGAAGCGCGGGTTTAGGTAGGTGAAGAACATGGCTCAATTTGCGCAACTTTGGCCCCACCCCAAGGGTGCGCCGAATCCGCTGTTGAGGCGGACGGCCGCCCGAATCGATTGCTGAGCTTCGGGTCTACAGCCCCCTCGCCCGCCTGCACGCCTGTCCCCTCGCCCGCACGCCCCTCCTCCCCCCGCCCGCCTCCGCCCCTCGCACCGCCGCCCGCCGCCCGCCGCCCCACGCACCGCCGCCGCTCACGCCACCGCGCTTACGCCAACGTCCTTCCCGTCGAGCCGCACACCTACCCGTACGCCCTTCTGCAGGAGCCCGCCGCGATGGAGAAGCACCAAGAGAAGCAAGAGGACAACGACCGCGGCAGCAAGCGGCCCTCGCCCGACTCGGCTCAGATCGAGCAGGAGGGGGGCGGCCGCCGCGTGGCCACCGTCGTGGCGCACTACCCGAGATTCGGCCACCACCGCGTGCGCGTGACGCGTCCTCGACGCGCCCGTTACGTGTGCGCCGTAGGACCTGCTCGGGGCGCCGTGCTCGGGCGCGTCGGAGAACGCGCCGACGGGCAAGGCGCGCAAGAGCGCTGGCGCGGCTCGGCGCGTGGCCGCTGACGTCTCGGACGCCTCCTGGAGCGGCGGCTCTGGCGACGAGGTCGAGGAGGTGGCCGAGCCCAAGGGGCGGGAAGTGCTTGAGTCGGCGCGTCCCAGCGGCGGGTACCCGCCCC